CAAGGCTGTGCTGAAGTGTCGCACAAACCCCAGTTCTATAGGTTGGCAGGGAGCTCCGGATTGGCCAACGAACGTCGTTGACAGTCGCGACGTGGATCGCGACGTGTATCTGGTCGAGCTCTGTACCAAGCGACGTGGCTGCATTTGCTGGGCGACACCGTGGGCTCGCAACGAATCGCAAAACCGCACTGCGGTCATTTTACGTGGAGGTCACCACGGAAAAAGCGCCACGTGGACTGGACGAGGGTAATCCAACGCACGTGGTGATTTCCCCATGTAGGGTAAACATAGTGATTGTAATTTCTGGCTCTGTATAACGCGTTATAGTGCCCAATATATACAAATGAGCAACACATGGCAATCAAATACAAATGAGCAACACATGGCAATCAAAACAGAAAATGGTTGAGGAACCATGTCTGGCCTGCCGACTCAAGCTGCACAAATTGGACAGCTCTAAGGATGGAAGCTGTCTCTACAACCATGTACCTTTGAGAAACCCCCTCTAAACTGAATTGCCGGCAGCCAGTCAATTCATCTAACGCGTCATGCTCGATATAATACCTCACGAATGCGAATTCGCGTCGATCTAGACCATGTCCGACATGGAATAGTAGCAGAACCTTGCCGTACCACTCCGACCCTGTACCTTGGATTGCAACATCACTGAACCAAACTTTCTTGTGGAATAGCGGAACCGCTCGGATGCGGTGTGGGGTGCTAGAAAAAGCCTCGTCCGTCGCGGGTGGCATGGCTAACTCAACATGAACCTGTACAGCAGTTGCGTGCCACATATTGTATCATTAGTAAAAGCATAACGTAATTGTTGCAAGGCATGCAACAAGCAAAAACGTGCTTAGGGTAACGTACGTAAATTGTGTCGATGTCCAGGCCATTGGTTACGTCGCGATCGATGGAACGACGAAGATATGGGAGGTCGTGATGTAGGCTGTCCAGATACAACTGGTCTCGCTTTGGGTCAGCCTTGGAGAATCCGACGTATGGGTGCTCGCGACGTCTCGCGTGAACGATCAACCCCCATGAACTCTTAGAGAGTGTACGTGCTCCCGTCCTCAATGCCTGTACAAAGTTTATTAAAAAATCAGGATAGTACCATCGTTCACGCAAAAAGTAAGGCTTGCTTGTCACTGTAATTATATACGTACCTCACGCATTGCATTACTGTATTCGTGTGTAGTGTCCAAGTCGGCTTGAGGTAGCGAATCCAGTTGCAAGCGGACCTCCTCCGCTTGGATGATTTGCCCACCCGCGTCACGCTTGTTGGATGCACGATAGGGCCTCTTAATATGGTCCTTGTGAAAGTGCTCAAACATGCTTGCATCATAGTGGAGTGGATGGCCTGCACGGCGAATTGCGTCGATGTAGTGACTCATCAAGTGGGTCTTGATAAATCGCCAGTTGTAGAGAGGGAAGCTCCTTTTTAGAAGCTCAATTAACCTGCAAATACAATCACACAAGATGTAGTCAGGTCAAAGGGCATACTACAATGATATACATGCAATATATGGGGTGTACGTACCTCTTGGATTGTTCCTCGAGTTTTGTCAAGGTTTCCTCGTCATAGTCTCTCGTCTTCCCACACGTGTGATACCACTCGATGTATGCCACAACGGCATCCATGTGTGGTTTTGCCACATAGTCTCGAATGAGGAAAGGAAGGATTTGCATGACAGACCTGTGCTCGTAAGCTTGGAATGAAGCACCTAGACGGAAATACTCGCCAGATGGTAGGCGCAAACCATCAACAATCCTGTTGGGGGGTTGGAAGAAGGAGGTGAATATGAATTCACATCCGAGTAGCTATATTAACATAGAGTAAGGGCATTGAGAGATAGGGATGTGCTGAGCACAAAAGGTGGAGCGAGTAAAGGTAGGAGGGGATGGAAAAACAGAGAGTGGTGCTAGGGGAGGCTTGGGAGAGCTGGAGCAAAAAGGAGTAGAAGGGAGAAGTTAGGAGGGACAGGGAAAAATAGCAGAATGGCTAGCCGGGAGAGAGAGGATGTGCTGGAAATGCATCAGGATGGTGAGGGAGAGGTAGGGAGAGCCAGGCATAGCAGAATGGATAGCAGGGAGAGAGGTAGTGTGCTGGAAAAAAATCACGATGGTGAGAGAGAGGTAGGGAGGCTGGCATAGCAGAATGGGGAGCAGGGAGAGAGGGGGTGTGCTGGAACTTTATGAACGGTCAGGGATAGGTGCATAGCAGAATGAAGAGGCACTCACTTGTACGTCGTTCCAAAAATTGCCGGTTTCGGGGGCGTCATACACCCTCACGCCCCTCACTCTCTTTCTATGCGCACGTTTAACAAGCGGATGGCTAAGTCTCGGTCCACTCAACAGATCTTGTAGGGCCTGCAAATGTTTAGCCATGTGGGAACGAGGGATTAGTGGGGCGCTGAAAAAAACATGAGCAAACACTCCAACATACCTTCAAGCTATCACAGTACCAAAAGGTCAAAAATGCCTTTGTTCCAACGCGAGTAACCCCCTTCTTCCACGAACGGTCACAGTCAGCCACTCTCGATTGCACATGTCGGTACACATCTCGCGAAGATCTCCATTCCGCAACGTCCGCCCACGATGCGCCTTCATGGCTAAGAATCTTAAATAATCTAGCTACCGAACGTTGAGATATACGCTCTTGGAGAATCCAGCGTGCCAATTCGTCCTTGAAGGAGAATGAAGCTGCGGGGCGCGGATTAGATCCGTTGGGAATCTGAGAAACTTCCGCTATCCCATTCGAGTCACTCATGCGTGCCATGAATGCCTCCGGATCATCGGCTGCACGAGCGGCTGCCGCTTCCACACCGTCCTCATCGGCTGGCTCATCAAACGTAGGTGGTACGAATACGTTTTCACTTCTGGAAGGACTCCACACGCGCCGACGTTGAGCGGGGGGTTGGATTGGTGGGGAATCTGACGCCTCTGCGCCTCTGGATGCAGCAGCTATTCTGCAAGCCGCACTACCTCTATGCGATTCTAGAGCAGAATAGACGTAGAAAGGCCCCGAACTACAGTCTGGGCATTCCATAGTGGCGGATGCAGGACTAATTTCTGTGTAGTGAAGGCAAAAAAATAAACAAAGCATGAGTGATTTGCATCAATATTATACCCCCCTGGGTGAGGTGATGTGAAGCGCGTGAGCACATGTAGTGCTGAGATTCAGGTTCAATTCGAAGGGGTGTGCATTAGGGCGCGTCATTCTAGTATCATTCTCAATCGATACCCATCTTAACCGAATTAGATGTTTATTAAAGCGTTTAAAATCGTGCAGCGTCGTATTGCACCGCATCCCCCCGAAGAAAAAGGACGCGCACTAACGAGCCGCGCATTTCACTCACACATTTCAAATCGCATCGCGAATTTTACACTTCACGAATTTTGAACTTTGAGTGACGTTGCGACATTCCCGTTAGCCAATACGGTCGTTGCGAAATATTGGCCAGCGAAAAAGTGCTGTTTGGAGAACCGGATTTGACGCGACCAATAGGAAGAAACCACGCACTCCCAAAAAATATTACAGTGCGTTTTGACTTTGTATGACCAAGGCGTCACGAGATTTCAAGAACCGTGATATACTGTACACCTGCTTGCTTACGCACTCTAGAAACGGCTGTTTATGACCACGTTCTTGCAAACACCAGACACATGCGTCACAAAATCTTCCCTCACGAAAAAGATGCCACGTTTTCTGCTTGCAAACACTGGGGTTTCCCCCGAATGAACCTTTCAGTTCCGATTACAACGACAACATTACGCCAAATCGAAATCGATCTCGACCGTACGAAAAAAAGTTGGAGTTTGAGCCGTTGATGTGAAATGTCAAGGAGCGCGACACGATATCCTACGCTGCCACGGCTGATTCCCTTCCAAACACAAGTGAAAAACATGCAAAACACAACCAAAAACGAGCATTTGCCACATCAGCCTGTGGATAGAAGTTTACACCCCCTCCCCAAAGCCTGTGATATTCGAAATATCGCCACCACCGTTAACAGACGGTTCAGCATTTTTGAGATGAGGCAGGCGTACGTCAATGGCGGTTCAGTGGCAGTGGTGTGGTACTGGTGGATCACCGTCTTCTTCACTCGCTCACCCTCCTTCCTACCCCTCACCCTCCTGTCCCCTCTGCAACTATCCCCATTATAACCGCACTTGTAACTCGTTACAGTCAGGCGTACGTCAACGGAGGCCCAGTGGCAGTGGTGTGGTACTGGTGGATCACCGTCTTCTTCACTCACCTCATCGCTCTCTCCATGGCCGAAATCTCCTCCTCCTACCCCGTGAGTCTCTCGATCATTCCGCGCCTCCTCCCTGTCTTACTGCTCCTTTAAGCGATTCCTCTTCTCACTTCTCTTCGTATCTCTTACCCCACCCCCCTCCCCCTTCCCTCCTCTCCTCTCCTTTTCTCTCCTCACCTCTCCTCCCCTCCTCGCCTCTCCTTTGCTGTTCCGTTCTGTCTACTCGACGCAAGAAGTCGCTGTTTTTCGCCGTACCTTTCGCCCCTATACCCAAAACCTTGCATTTTGCTCACCTCCCCCTACGTAAATCTCAGTTTGCCGCTCGACAGTACTTCTGGTCCAAAGCTCTGGCTGGATCAAGTCTGTCTCAAGCTCTGGCTCTGCTCTGGCTTCCTCCCTCCCTCCCTCCCTCCCTCCCTCCCTCCCTCCCTCCCTCCCTCCCTCCCTCCCTCCCTCGCTCCCTCCCTCCCGCCCTCCCACTCGCCCTCCTACATTTCCCCAACCCCACCTCCAGGTTGCCGGTTCACTCTACTTCTGGTCTGCAGCCTTGGCTGGGCCAAAGCACGGCCCCTTTGCTGCCTGGATCACGGTACTACTGTTGGGCCTTTAAGCCTTCCTGCTTGAATGGCTCTGGAGGTTGATGAGCGTTCAGCGTGAGTGTTTGGTGTGAGGGGTTGAAAACAGAAAGGTTCTAGGGGTTGCTTGCAGTTGGTATGGGGGTTGTGGCTTGAGTGTTGTAAGATGGTACTGGTCGGTTTCGCGCAACCCACTCCACACTTGAGCACATTTCTTGGTTTGGTACTTTATCCCAAACCCTCCTCCCCCTCATCTCATCCCAAACCCTCCTCCCCCTCATCTCATCCCAACCCCTCCTCCCCCTCATCTCATCCCAAACCCTCCTCCCCCTCATCTCATCCCAACCCCTCCTCCCCCTCATCTCATCCCAAACCCTCCTCCCCCTCATCTCATCCCAACCCCTCCTCCCCCTCATCTCATCCCAAACCCTCCTCCCCCTCATCTCATCCCAACCCCTCCTCCCCCTCATCTCATCCCAAACCCTCCTCCCCCTCATCTCATCCCAACCCCTCCTCCCCCTCATCTCATCCCAAACCCTCCTCCCCCTCATCTCATCCCAAACCCTCCTCCCCCTCATCTCATCCCAACCCCTCCTCCCCCTCATCTCATCCCAAACCCTCCTCCCCCTCATCTCATCCCAACCCCTCCTCCCCCTCATCTCATCCCAAACCCTCCTCCCCCTCATCTCATCCCAACCCCTCCTCCCCCTCATCTCATCCCAAACCCTCCTCCCCCTCATCTCATCCCAACCCCTCCTCCCCCTCATCTCATCCCAAACCCTCCTCCCCCTCATCTCATCCCAACCCCTCCTCCCCCTCATCTCATCCCAAACCCTCCTCCCCCTCATCTCATCCCAACCCCTCCTCCCCCTCATCTCATCCCAAACCCTCCTCCCCCTCATCTCATCCCAACCCCTCCTCCCCTTCATCTCATCCCAAACCCTCCTCCCCCTCATCTCATCCCAACCCCTCCTTCCCGTCATACTTCCCCAAACCTTCCTCCCCTTCCTCACCCCTGAAATTCTTCTCCCCCTCATCTCCCCCCATCCCTCCCCCCCCCCCCCCCTCTCGCCCCGTCTCAAGGGCTGGTTGGAGTTTCTCGGCCTTTCTGTGGGGCTGGGCGGCGTCTCGTACGGCGGGGTGATCATGCTACAATACACCGTGCTGGTCGCTACAGGTATTCCCATGTTGCCATCCCTCCTGGTACAGCCATACGCCTCACAAACAGGCTCAGAAAGAGGCGCCTTAAAGCCCGACCCTATGCCTGTGGGGCTGGGCGGGGAGTCTTACAGCGGGATGGTAATGCTGCAATACATCGTGCTGGTCGCTACAGTAACTGCCATGGTGTCATCCGGATACTGTTATACGCCTCACAAACGAACTCAGAAAGAGGCGCCTTAAAGCCCGACTCTATTTCTGTGGGGTTGGGTGGTGTCTCATTCGGCGGGGTGATCCTGCTACAATACACCGTGTTCGCTCCCCCTCTTTCACTCTCTGCCTGCTCCTTCCCCTGCAACCACCAGGAGGGGCCAATGGGGGAGGCTACCTGCTGAACAACTACGAGTCATTCGCCATCACAGTGGGCGCCCTTTCTCTTCTGCGGCATCACTAACTCCTCCCCGTCCTGTCTCTCCCTCCTCCCCTCTTCCCCACCACCAGGAGGGGCCAACGGGGGAGGCTACCTGTTGAACAACTACGAGCCGTTCGCCATCACAGTGGGGGCCATCCTCCTCTGCGGTATCCTCAACTCCTTCTCCATCAAGTTCATTGGTCGCCTGGCTGTCATCAGCGCTGTTTATCAGGTGGGCTGCAGTCACCGTAGCCGCATGGAAGCACCACTACTCCTCCTTTTCCCCCCCCCCCTCCCCCCCCCTCTCTACCCACATGCTCTCCTCTGCGCCGTCCTCAACTCCTCCATCAAGTTCATCGGCCGCCTCGCTGTCATCAGCACTGTTTATCAGGTGCACTGCCTCTGCCTGCCTTCATTGTAGCAGAGGAAAATAGATTCGACCCAGATCCGGCAGACCTAACTCGTTCTAGTCTTTCGCTATTCTGTGCTTAGGCTATTCTATTCTAACCCATCTCCTCCTCTCAACGCCTTCCCAATCAACTTCATCGGCCGCCTGGCTGTAATCAGCAGTGATTATCAGATAGACTTATATAAGTCGATTTTTTAGTCGACTCAAAATCGACTTATCCGGTAGATTTATACAAGTTTCGCAATGTTACTCCCATTTTCCACCCCACCCCAGATGGGACTCGCCATTGTCATCATAATTCCGCTGCCCTCAGTAGCGCCTGTGCACACAATTTTTGAGTCGACTCAAAAATAGGCTCAAAAGTAGCGCATGTGCACACAATATCCATTTCCCCTTCTCTCCTGTGACACTGTGCTCTGATCTCCCTCCCTCCCTTCCTCCCCTCCCCAGACGGGACCCCCCATAATAATTATGATTCTGCTGCCCGCATTAGCGCCAGTGCATCAGATGTCGCATCCTCTCTTCTTCCTCTCCCTACCTCCCCTCCTCAGATGGGCCTCGCCTTTTTTACGATTCTGCTGCCCACGGTGGCGCCGGTGCACAACAATTCCTCCCCTTCCCCTTCTCTCCTGTGACACTGTGCTCTGCTCTCCCTCCCTCCCTTCCTCCCCCTCCCCAGATGGGACTGGCCATAGTCATTATGATTATGCTGCCTGCAGTAGCGCCAGCACACCAGACGCCATCCTTCATCTTCACCCACTACCATGTGCAGCTGGACGTGTCTCTGCTGCCCAGTGTGGTGAGTACCGCACCGCACCGCACCGCACTGCACCACCCTGCAACACTCTGCACTATACCGCACCGCTAAATGTATGGCCTGTGTGCATCAGACACCAGCCTTTGTCTTCACTCACTACCACATACAGCTGGATGTATCTCTTTTTGCTGCCCGGTGTGGTGAGTACCGCACAGCACTGCACTGCACCACTCTGCAGCACTGTACACTGCTCAGCATTGATCTACACCGTTCAATCGATGGCCTTTGCGCATCAGATGCCAGCCTTTGTCTTCAATCCACCCCACTCCCCTCGTACATGCCTACGCGTTTATAGCAGCGATGCGGCTATCACAATACCCCCAGCCATACGCCTTCATAGCAGCGATGCAGCTATCACAATACTCCCTCTACGCATACGGCACCATGGCCGGCCCACAGGGCAGAGGGGACCAAGCGCTCCAACCGCACATCACCTCTCTTCACCTCACTCTGTTCCCCTCCACAAACCCCTTGGCGTATGCCTTCATAGCAGCGATGCAGCTATCACAATACTCTCTCTACGCATACGACACGGTGGCCCACATGGTAGAGGAGACCAAGCGCTCTGACCGCACGTCCCCAGCCAGCATGGTGCTCTGCCTCTCCGCTGTCAGCCTGCTCGCGTGGGGGCTGCTCTTGGCCTTCACCTTCTGCATTCAGGGCGACGAGAATCTTACCAGCCCGGGCAGTGTTACCGGAGGGCAGCAGATCCTCGTCACCATCATCTGGGAGGTTTTTGTTGCTCGGTGAGTGGCTTGGTAGTGGCTTGGGTTTTAAGAACGCCTTCCTCTTTTTCCTCCTACTCTGCTCTCCGTGCCCCTCTTCCCTGGTTGCCCCCATTCCACCCTATGATTCCCATTCCCACTCCCCTCCCAACAGCTTTGGCAACGGCACAGGGGCAGTCGTTGTGCTCTCACTCATCTACGTCCCGTTCCTCTTTCTCCCTACTGTGCTCTGCTCTGCTTGCTGCTATTCCCCAATCGCCCCCTTTGCCCCTGCTACCCCCACTCCCCCCCAACAGCTTTGGCAACGGCACAGGGGCAGTCGTTGTGCTCTCTCTCATCTACGTCCCCTTCCTCTTCCATCCTCCCATGCACCCCCCCTCTTGCTACCGTGTGTTCCTTTCCCCTCTTGTGCCTGTCTCCTGCAACAGATTTGGCAATGGCACAGGGGCGGTGGTGGTGCTCTCACTCATCTACGTCGCTTTCCTCTTTGGTGTCTTCGCTGGTATCCTTGGCGCTTCTTGAGCGGTCAGTCACTCACCGTCGCACCCCACCCTCTGCTTGCCTTGCCTGCCCACCCCAAACCCACCCTCTGCTTGCCTTGTCCACCCACCCCACCCTGTGCTTTCTCACCCATCCATCTCACTCACACAACGCCTTTCTTTTTTGTGTCTTTGGTGGTATCCCCGCCGCATCCCGAGCGGTCAGTCCTTGCCCATCCTTCCTTACACCTGGGGGAATCCCTTGCTGTGCTTGCTCGCATTCCCATCCCCTCCTCTCATCCATACCGATTGCCGCATCCCAAGCGATCAGTTTCTTTCCCATCCCTTCATGTGCTAACGCCATCAAGGTGACTTTTGAGTCGACTCAAAAGTCACCTTTCCCATCCCTTCATGTGCTAACGCCATCAAGGTGACTTTTGAGTCGACTCAAAAGTCACCTTTCCCGTCCCTTCATGTGCTAACGCCATCAAGGTGACTTTTGAGTCGACTCAAAAGTCATCTTTCCCGTCCCTTCATGTGCTAACGCCATCAAGGTGACTTTTGAGTCGACTCAAAAGTCACCTTTCCCGTCCCTTCATGTGCTAACGCCATCTCGCCTGTCGAGGCACATCAAAAAGAGTGTAAACGTAGTTTTGGGGTTACTGAGAAGTGATCGGTTTCTTTCCCATCCTTTCATGTGCCAATCGGTCCCGTCCCTTCATGTGCTTACGCCATATCGGGCAACAAGAGACTGCACTGCACCTTCTTGCCTCACCCCATCCTCGTTCACTCCTTCCCCCCACCCCATCCTTCCAGGCCTACGCCATATCGCGGGACAAGGGTCTGCCATTCGCGTTCATCTGGCGGCGGGTGAACCGAGACAAGACGCCCATCTACTCCGTCTGGCTGTGCTGCGGAGTCGCCATCCTCTTCTCCCTGCCTCTCCTCAAGGACTCCTTTCTCTTCTCAGCCATCACCTCCCTCGCCACCGTCGCCTGGGTGGGGGGCTATGCTGTACCCATCTTCTTCCGCTTGATTCAAAGGGAGGAGGACTTTGAACCCGGCCCCTTCTACCTCTCCAAATACGTCGGCGTCTGGGGCAGGTGAGGGTGCCGTAGTGTGTGTGGTACGGTGCGCTGCTGGGTGGTGCGCCCGCACGGCCTCTTCTCCCTGCCTCTCCTCAAGGACTCCTTTCTCTTCTCAGCCGCCACCGTCGCCTGGGTGGGCGGCTATGCTGTACCCATCTTCGGCTCATCCAGAGGGAGGAGGATTTCGAGCCGGGCTGTTGTACCTCTCCAAATACGTCGGCGTGTGGGGCAGGTGAGGGCGGGACGAGGGTAGCATGGCTTGCTGTACTGAGCCAGTCCTGGGGCTGTGGTAAAGAGAGTGCGTGTTGTGGTGTGGTGCGGTGCGGTGTGGTGCGGCTGCACGGCCTCTTCTCGCTGCCCCTCCTCATTTTGTTCCACCTCATTCAAAGAGAGGTGGACTTTGAACCCAGGCAGTTCTTTCTCACACCCTTGCTGTAGACACTAACAATCAATTTACTGCTCCTGTCCTCTCTCAATCTCCCGCCCTCCCCTATTCTTTGTCCCCCTTCTGACCTGCTTCTCTTGCTCACTCTCGCAGGAAACTGATAAACATTGGAGCCATTTTCTTTGTCCTCTATACAGTCAGCATCTTTATGCTACCAATGGTCTTCCCAATCACTGCAAGCAACTTCAACTACGCGTGTGTCGGAATCTTCGCGGTAGTTTCCTTCTTCCTCATCTGGTGGTTCCTCGATGCACGCCATTGGTTCGTCGGACCCTTTCTGGATAAGACGGCCACCAACAACCAATCGAAATACACCGCGGGGAGATGGTTCATGTAGTGCTCTCACAGGGAAGAAGGGAGCTGCTTCGTATACGTCTGTATGGAGTTTGTACTCCCTAAAGGGTTCTAGATAAGGCAGCAACCAACCAACAACCAATCGAAATACGGCGCCGGGAGATGGCTCATGTAATGGAGGAGGCTGCTGTAGCTTTGACCTGGCTTGGTATTAATTGTTGGTTCTGGTTGTACTTGGATGGACTGATGAAGAATCTCTTGTGTGTGGAATGGAATGCATGATTCATGCCTTAGTCTTGATTGTTCACTTCGAAGGCCTTCTAGGGTGTGTGATGTGTCCAAACGATGGCCCAGTCAAAGATGCGGATTGGCTCATTTGGTAATAGTGATTGCGCGTTGGGAAGGCCTTACACTGTGTGTTTGAGTTGACCCCTTGCGAAATTTGATTATGGAATGCTACACCCAATGACGATAGCTGGAAGGTGCTTATGCTTGAGGTTCATTAAAGGGGAACATCTGATTCTGTTCCAACTTTCATGTACAACAACGTTGCCTACCAGTCATTCTGGCATCATCTTACTGGAACTCATAGAATACGTGCAATATTGAGTGACAACCTTTGTCAAGGTTCCTAAAATCCAGTCACTGAGCCAGTGAGGAGAGACTTTTCCGTGTCTTACAGGCAATTCCAGAACATTGTAACCACCCTTCTGCAGACGCATTGTAACAATCTTCACCATTCCATTCTCACTACCATTTTGTGTCAGAATCCCAACCACTAGACCATTGGAATAAAAGGGCTTGTTTCAGTAGTGGGTCAGTGTGCCCATAACCCCCCAGGCTAACCGACCTGTAACCCTCCAAGGATCAATCGGGGATCTCACAGTGCAAGTCTTCTGACACCCCCCCCACACTGGGAGGTCCAGGACTCGGCACAGCGGCAACGGCCAGCATGTGCATACACCGGGATTCGAACCCGAGACCGCTCTGATACCATGTATGAATCCCAACCACTAGACCATTGGGATAAAAAGGCTTGTTTCAGTAGCGGGTCAGTGCGCCCATAACCCCCCAGGCTAATCGGCCTGTAACCCTCCAAGGATCAATCGGGGATCTCACAGTGCAAGTCTTCTGACATTTTGTTATTCCCTCCCAGATCCCAGCAGCAGCACCATGCTTTGTTTCGAAGCGCCTCAAATGTCTTCACCGCTCCACTCTCACAATTATCTTGTTCGGCGCCGTGGCCATCCCAGCAACCTATTGTTTCACCGCTCCACTCTCACAATTATATTGTTCGGCCACACCAGCAACCTATTGTTTCACCGCTCCACTCTCACAATTATCTTGTTCGGCGCCGTGGCCATACCAGCAACCTATTGTTTCACCGCTCCACTCTCACAATTATATTGTTCGGCCACACCAGCAACCTATTGTTTCACCGCTCCACTCTCACAATTATCTTGTTCGGCCATACCAGCAACCTATTGTTTCACCGCTCCACTCTCACAATTATCTTGTTCGGCGCTGCGGCCATACCAGCAACCTATTGTTTTGCCGCTCCACTCTCACAATTATATTGTTCGGCCACACCAGCAACCTATTGTTTCATCGCTCCACTCTCACAATTATCTTGTTCGGCACTGCGGCCACACCAGCAACCTATTGCCTATTGTTTCCCCGCTCCACTCTCACAATTATATTGTTCGGCCACACCAGCAACCTGTTGTTTCGCCGCTCCGCTCTCACAATGATATTGTTCGGCCACACCAGCAACCTGTTGTTTCGCCGCTCCGCTCTCACAATGATATTGTTCGGCCACACCAGCAACCTGTTGTTTCGCCGCTCCGCTCTCACAATGATATTGTTCGGCCACACCAGCAACCTGTTGTTTCGCCGCTCCGCTCTCACAATGATATTGTTCGGCCACACCAGCAACCTGTTGTTTCGCCGCTCCGCTCTCACAATGATGTCAAACATTATATATGTTGTGTTAGTTTAGGCTACAGTGGGTTAGCCTATAGGGGGTACACAATTCTAGGGTTAGGTACTTGTACTCTTTTCATTGCCAGTTCATTCATTCCTGTTCAGTGATTCCAACATGGTATAGAGCAGGTCCTTCCTAGGACCGAAATTTTCTAAGGGCCCACCACTACGTAACTACCTACCTACCTACCTACCCGTGCCCTAGGGCGCCTCGGCGTGTTACGCCCCTAGAGGCCCCTCTTGACGGCCCCGCGCTAGCCCCGTTCAGGCCCCGTCGGCCCCTTTAAGGCCCCGTTCAGGCCCCGCGCTAGCCCCGTTTAGGCCCCGTCGGCCCCGTTTCAGGCCCCGTCGGCCCCACGCTAGCCCCCCTCAGGCCCCGTCGACCCGCGCTAGCCCCGTTTCAGGCCCCGTCGGCCCCTTTTCAGGCCCCGTCGGCCCCGCGCTAGCCCCTCTCAGGCCCCGTCGGCCCGCGCTAGCCCCCCGTTTCAGGCCCCGTCGGCCCCGTTTCAGGCCCCGTCGGCCCCGCGCTAGCCCCTCTCAGGCCCCGTCGGCCCGCGCTAGCCCCGTTTCAGGCCCCGTCGGCCCGCGCTAGCCCCGTCTCAGGCCCCGTAGGCCCCGCGCTAGCCCCTCTCAGGCCCCGTCGGCCCCGCGCTAGCCCCATTCAGGCCCCGATCGGGCCCGCGCTAGCCCCGTTTCAGGCCCCTTCGGCCCCGTTTCAGGCCCCGTCGGCCCCTTGCTAGCCCCGTCAAGGCCCCGTTTGGCCCCGCGCTAGCCCCGCTCAGGCCCCGATCGGCCCCGCGCTCGCCCCTCTAGGGCCCCAACCGGCCCCGTGCCTACCTCGCCGACCCGTGCCCACCACCCAGAGGCCCCGGGCGGCCCGTTCCCGCCGCAGCACAAGAGGGAAAGCGGGCGGCCCGTCCCCGCCGTGACCTGAGCCGAGCCGCGCGCCCCGAGCCGAGCCGCGCCACCAAGCCGAGCCGCGACCCGACCTGAACCGAGCCGCGCCGCCCTGCCCTACCTGGTTCGTCCTACCTGCTTCTCCTACCGCTACTGCTGCTATTTCTACTGTTCCTATGGCTAGCCCACAGGTTCTCGTGTTCGATGCTGAGGGCCGCCCTGTGAAGTTTGACACCTGGCTCGATGACCTGCACCTCTACCTACAGCTCACAGCCAAGGATGACATCTCACTGTACGATCACGCCCTAGGCCTTGTCACTGCCCCTGCTGCTACTGCTGACAGCACTGCTCGCTCACAGTGGCAGACTCGTGATGCCCACGCTCGCTTCGCCATTCGCAACTCCCTGCCGATAGACGAACGCGAGCACTTTGGTCAGCACAAGACTGCACCGGCACTGTACACAGCTGTAGTTGCTCGCTACTCCTCACCTGCCTCTGCCGCACTAGGCCGTCTCTCCCTCCCCTACCTGTTTCCCGACCTGGCCTCCTTTCACACAGTCGCTGACCTCATCACGCACCTCCGTACTAGTGAGGCCCGCTTCCGTGCCGCCATGCCTACTGAGTTCCTTGCCACGCACCCCCCTCCACTCTGGCTCACTCTCTATCACCTAGTCACCCGCCTCCCTGACACACTGCGTGCTGTCAGGGACCACTTCCTAGCTCGTTGCCCCACTGAGCTCACCATTGCCCTCCTCGAGAAGGAGCTACTTGCAGCTGAGGCTAGCATAGTCGCTGTAGGTGCCTCTCGTGGCGACCCTCGTACCCCGTTCTTTGAGGGGTGTTCTCCTTCCCCCCTTCTTCCCTCTGTCGCCTCTGCTGCTGCTGTCGACCTTCTTGGTACTGAGAAGGTCGGCACTGCGTCTGCCTCGAGCGGACGCCGCAGCGGCAAGGGCAAAGGGGGCAAGGGTAGTGGCGGTGACGGCGGGGGAGGCGGCGGTGGGGGCGGTGGAGGCAGTGGGGGTGGTGGCTCGGCTGGAGGGGCGAGTGGTAGCGGTGGGGGTGGTGGCGGCAGCGGCGGGGGAGGTGGCAGGAGTGGAGGCGGCGGTTGGGGTGGCGGTGGACGAGGCGGCGGCAGGGGTTGGGGTGGTCGAGGAGGTGGCAGCGGTGGTGGTGGCCGTGGAGGCGCTGGCGGTGGCCAGGGCCAGCAGCACACTCTCTCGCCCCAGGAGGTCCGTGAGTGGTACTCTCAGCACGGGGGTGGGGGTGGTCTTAGCTGCACGTACGTCATTCGCACTGGTGACCGCACTGGTCAGCAGTGTGGACGACCGCACGCCACACAGCGCTGCTTCTCTCGTCTCGACGACGCTTGGCGTGTTCAGTTCCCTCAGGCCACTGAGCTG